CTGGGGCTGAGCGGGGACCTTGGGGGTCTGTGAAAAAAATTAGATCAAAATAGGGGTCTTCGGGTTGGTAAAGTTTGAGAGCCGCTGGTAATGGAAATTGTCTATCCTGATGCAAATGGCCAACTGGATTAGGAACAGTACAGACAGGAAGAGGAATGTTCTTTGGACCTGGCTGTGTGTCCTGCTTATTTGCCTTTACTTACTGACTCTTCTCTGAACCACATTATTCGATAGGTTCAGGAGACACTGACGTATTTCATATTGTACTCAGGCCAGATGGTGCATTGTTAAGGCTCCCAAACAATTTGCCAGTATCTGCTGCCTGGTTACACACACTTATAACCTTCTGAAACATCCAGCTTCAGTTTTTTGGCCTGAAATTGTCCATGCTTAGAGTCAGACTCTCATTCCTGCTGTGGCTACTTTTCGCTGGGAAGAAGGGCCAGAGTGTCATATGGGGTCCTACACACCCAGCTTCTGGTTAGGGAAGAATTCCTTGGTGCAGGAAGTAAGGAGGATAGCTACAGGCTGTCCTTCAAGGACTCCCCTACAACCACTGGTGTGTCTGGCTTGCAAGCAGCATGTCCAGGGTGGGGTTGGGGGCAGGAGGGGTGTGTTGGAGATGAGGCTGCAGCACAGAGCACTATGGAGATGCGGCACAGCCTACGGAGGTTACTCTAACTTAGACAGGCCCCTGAGTCTGTCTAAATTATGTCTGGGGCCTGCAGTGGGGAGAGTAGCCTAGACCCAGGAGGCTGCAAGGGTGATTTAAAGCTACCTTCACCCTTCACCTCCTGACATGTAAGTTCTGTACTGTATAGAATCTAATCCTTGGTCTTTGCCCAAACGGTGCATTGCATGTTGTTATTGGAAGTTTGAGCATTCCTGAATTCTGGGAGTGGGGGGTAAAATATACAATTACTAATGTTGTTCCTGAAAGTTTTGGTACTGGGCATCAGTACTGGTTAGTCAGTACTGGTGAGTCACAGCATCTCAGTAGTATCATTCTGCCTGGTATAATTTGTGCATGCAACCTAAAATGTGATGTTTAGCTCTGATATTTAAAAAGGAAAAAAAGTGGGCTGGAATGGTATTTTAGTAACAGTGTAATATGTTGCCCTGTAGGGTGGATTGGGGTCTGTATACACGGTCCCTCTTTGGGGGTTAAGCAGGTTTTGAAAGCTTTGGGGAGATATTTTGTGTTGTTCATCGGGGGACCTTTTTTGGTGTCCCATAATAACACAGTGGTCCTCAACTCATACTCCAGTTTTCTTCCCAAGGTTTTGTTAAAATAGTGCATTAGCTCTCTTCAGAGGTTCTGACATTGAGCAGGCAGAGGCGGTGGCGCTGTTTTGGTGTCTGCAGAGCCCCTGAAGCTGCCCGACTCTCAGCTGGAGGTAGACTTTTTGAAGAACAAATTCATTTCTTTGAATCCTTCAAAAATTCCACTCATCTATAACCTTTGGATGTTATTTATGACAGTGCAGGAAATCAACTAAAGATAAAATAAGCAGACACACAGCTGGCAACATAAAAGCTGAACAGATGTCAAGTATTTAGAAAATGAATAATTAGTGCACCCAATAAAAATAAAGAAGTAATAACCTCGTGCAAGCATAGCTGTTTAGCCATAAACATTGCAGCAACTGACCAAAGGAAATAGCCTAATTTATTCTGATGGTGGTTTGCAACAGAGATGTATAAGCAATAAAACAACTACTACCCATGCACATATACTGATGACCCCTTCTTGCAGCTCACCTTGGTGATGCAAATATTGTGTGTCCTGATAGTCATTCTAAATATGTCTCTTTTGTGATTTTTCACCTTTTTTATATAAAATAGCTTGAGTTGGAGCTTTGTTACAGATATGCCATTTGCATAGGTCAGTTAAACTTAGAGGAGAATCAACCACAGAAATACCATATGAAGAAAATAGGTGAGAACTGGAATAACAAAGGTATTGTTGGCATTTTTCTATTTGTTTACAGTTTATTGGGAGTTTAAGGCAGCTTGCTTAAGGTATTTTTACTATTAATTGTCCTGATCCAAATCCTGAAGTCTTTATTTATTTACTCCTAGTTCCTTCCTCTGGGAGGTTTATTTGAATGAGTGGGCAAGGATTTCAGGATTTGGCCCTTTTTGGGTATAGACTGTAAAGGTAGATATATAGTACTGTAATGCCTTCTAGCTTCTTGAAGCAACTTCTTGTGCTGTACTAAAATGTATTCAGTACCCAGATAGTTTAGGTAGAACCCCTAAAGAAACGAGATCTTGCTAGAAAAGCCTAATACATCCCCTTAGATTAAAGTCTGTCCTCCTTTCACACACACAGATTCCACTGACTTTAGTGGGAGGCTCATGTATGAATCTGAAGGCAGAACTTGACCCTTAATTGGCAATTTTTCAAAAGTAAAGTATCTCCAGTTTGGGCAGGATAGTCAATCGGACATTTTTAGGAATCCTACAAATGCTGAGTGTTTTGAGCCAATACAGTTTTCAGCTCACCAATGTATCTGGAGTTACTCAGGGTTTCTTTTCTAGTCTCCTGATCCTGCTTGATTCCACACAGCAAATATTTTTAAAATGTTGCCTATCTTGATTTCTTTATTTAAAATCTTCCCCCACAACAGGTAATGTAATACCATAAAATGCAAGAGATGCTTTTGGTAAAGCATATAAATATACAAAATAATCAAGCTTAAAAAGCAATGGTTATTTACATCTAAATACATTTTATGAGGAGTTTTTAATCTAAATTGTGGCAGAGATAATGGCTGCTTTCATGCTGAGTTTTTTCACTGTAGTTTTGCTTTGTATAATAATTATGTATTATATTACTAGCTACAGTTTATTGTTCTACCCCTTTCTGAGCAAACAGCAGCATTTTAGTATTGCTGGAATCATTCCAGCTGGATCAAAATATCATTAAAATGGTGGAAACTTCCATTCCAGTTATGTCTGCTGCAAATATTGTTTAGGAAACCAAAAATGTGTGTTAGATGTTAATTGAGCCCTTGTTTATCTCCTGAAGGGAGGAATGTCTTCTAAATAAATTAGTGAATATATACCAAAAAGTTAAGATCTCTCAGACCCATAAAGAAAAGAGAAAAAGGCACTGAGTCAAACCATAGCTTTTCAACAGATAGATTCGCTATGGTTAGCTTTTAATAGATGTTTGAAGAGAAGAAACAACTCATCCTATGTGTAGTCACTGTGCAGTATATGAGATACTGCTCCGTTTGAAATGAGTCCACTAGTTTTTCTTTTATAAATATTTTTCATGCAGTATTTTCATGTCCCAGTTGTATTGGAAATTATTATTTTCTTTCCTTCTTAAATAGCCCAAGAAGAACAGATATGAGAATGTCATTATACTGAAGTACACGCGGAGTATTGTTCTGCTAATTTTTGGGAAACAAAAAAAGAAGTTTTGGATTCTGCTACAATGTTTTTATTTTTATTTACTATAGATCCTGAAAGCAAAATTTTGTCCTGGTTTTATAACAACTTGTAAAGTATGTACTGAATAGACTGTGATTTCAATGGAACTACACCCATTTACACCAACTGAGTGTCTGGTCTTGAGTCTGTTTCATTGGACCTGGCTAGTACTGGTGCAATTTGTGGCTCCTGTGCACTTTTCTCAATACTTGTCCCTCTAATGTTTTGATGAATGTGGAGTTTGAATATATTACAGTTAATGGAGCAATCCTAACAAAACAGAGAAACCTTGGTACATCTCATGGAGATATACTTTAGGATCTGATATAAATAGACATACACACACACTTTCAGAACTAATACATATATATATATATAGGAGATCCTAACACATATCTCTATAAGAACAACATTTATATAGGTAGTTTTTATTACACTTGGAGATATTACCAATTGCAAGGAGGAGATCCCAGAATATCTTTGAGAAAAAAACTATAATATCGGCATTACCTGAGGAATTATATTAGGATCTGCGACAGTGTCTACTGAATGCCCAAACTCTCACTGGCTTAGTGGAAGCAAGAGCAGGCTCAAGATGATAGCAGTGATTGATAGAACCCTCATACAGGGTGAGGCTGGTTAGTTTAGACACTGCTAAAGTGTACAAATGCAATAGCCCTGATCAGCTCTGAGCCCAGTAAAATTAGATGGGAGACACTTTAATAATCCTTTAAAAAAACCCAGACATTCACATGGAAAAACTTTAAGGAAATGCATAACTAAAGTGATAATGTTCTGTATGCTGTTAAGCTGCTGGTTGCACTGTACAATCGTTTTAAATGTTGTTCTACAGTTATGCAAATGAACTACCAGCTGTTTAACAGTATATAGGGCTTTTTCACCTAAATTGTGCATTTCCTTAAAGTTATTTACGGGAAGATTTTCTAAGTGAATGTCTATTTTGGCCCTGATTCTCTAAAGCCCTTTACAGCACTCTGGTAATGCAAAGGGGCCTTAAAGTAGGTATAAATCTTCATGCTGCCAGAGGGGCTTTAGTGTAAATGAGAACCAGGCCCATCATGAGAAATAATTCCTGCCCTGAAGATGTTACAGCATAACGAACAACAGGGGGGAGAGGAAATACTGGACAGAAAGGTAAACAGATCTTCCCAAGTTCACACAGCAGACCAGTGGCAGAGTCAATGATAGAGCCCATGTCTCCTGATTCTTATTCCTGTGCCCTACCCACTGGGCCAGGCTGCCACTCTGAAAACAATGTCTTCAGGAGTTTGTCCTTCAAGTCTCTCTCTACAGCTGTAAATTGTAAGTCAGGTGTATTGGTGTCAGGCCAGCATAGATAATATAGAATAAAAGGAACTGTATGTAAAAATAATGTCATCAGTTGATGCAATTGTCCTTTTCTCAGTAATCCAGGAAACAACCACTGCACGTTTCCTTTGTGCTTTTCTCAGTAACATACACACAGTCGGCTTTAGTTTTAAACAAATATTAAAGGCATTCCTTTTAAAATGGATTTATCTTCTTTTAATGGATAGGAGAGAGCCAGGATGTGTCTGATCTATTTGGTAAATCAGCTGGCCAACATGGAACACTCGTTTCACCATATTCTTCTGCTGGAGATTAAGGACATCACCGACACCTTCTCAAATATTCTGGGCAACCAGAGCAGAGATATCTACCGTATGAGTAACAGTTTCACTGCCATAGCCAAGCTTCTGATCAGACAACTGGAAAACTACACCACATTAGGAAGCAGGTAAAACTAGTTTCTGTATTAATCTTATATCTGGATAAGTGGAGACATGTGTCACGGTGTGATGAGTGACAGGAGTATACAATTATGCTAAATGTACTCAATTAGTAATGAGCTAATATACAAGTACCTGCAGGGAACTTCAGTAAAGTCAGGATATCAGAGGTTCTCTACCATCACTGTAGGCTGCCACCTCTAAACTTACTTTCAATCAATTTTATATCAAAATCGGATGCCATTCTAGAAGGCCTGCTCTAGTTCAAACAGGACTTAATGCAGAAAGCACTTGGCAAAATTCTATAGCCTATGCTGTGCAGGAGGTCCGACTAGATGATCAGAATGGTCCCTTCTGGCCTTAAAACCTATGAATCTAGGAAGGAGGGATGGTACTAGTATCTATTCTATTTTGCACCCTCCAAAATACACCAATATGATGAGAGGAGGATTGCCACCAGTCAGAAGGGCTGAAAAGCAGTTAAATGGTTAAAGGACTAAATAACAAATTGCAGAGTAGGAGACATCAAGGCCTTTTAAAAGGTGGAATAATTTTGCTAGGGAAGTGCTGGAAGCCCAGTCATCTGAGTCATTTATATTGGGTTGAGCAAAACACTGAAGAATATGACCAATCTGGAGTTGGCAAGGGACTGGAGTAGATTTGGTAGGGCTTTCCCCACTCTACTTTGTGATTCCCTAATCAAACATGAAGAACCAGACAACCATTCAGCAGTAGTGAGGAAGATCAGAAAGTACAGCGGTAGTCTTAGAGAGAGCTGGAAAACATCAGAGGGGAGAGTCAAGGAGGCATCTGGAAGGGTTAAGGGAATCCTGAAGACAAGTGCCAAGATTTTCAAAACAGGAGTCCAAAGACAGACTTCTAACTCCATATATAGGCAGCAGAATAAGTGATCTGATTTTCAAAAGTCCTGAGCACGCGCCAACTCCCAGTGAAGTCTGTGGTTCTACTATATGCTTAGGACTTTTTAAAATCAGGTCACTTATTCAGGTGCCATATGGATTTAGGAGTCTAACTTTAGAAGTCCATTTTTGAAAATCCTGGCCAAGGGCATTATCTCTAATGGCAGAGGAATTGCTACAAAGAATTTCACAACATAGGAAGTGTACCACTTTGGAAGGAGTTATAGCTGGCAGTGATAAGGGAAATGTGGTGGCATTTAAGGGAGGAGGTAAAGAAAATTATTTTTAGGACCATTGCAGAAATATCAAATAATGATTCTGCTCATACACTTACACATTGCTCAGTGTTTGGGGCACTCCTGTTTTCTAAGACTTTTGTCCCTTCTCCTATCAGAAGTAACTTAATACACAGATTTTCAAGTATTTATTTTAACTTTTAGTATCTCACGAGGAGGCTTCACCATACCTTCCTCCAGATAACATGTGTATTAGCTCAGTTGACAGGAGGCATTGCTCAGATTTTCTAATGTGGAGTGAAAATAATCCCTGTGACTTTCATTTGAGAGCTTGAAAAGCCTTTGCTTGAAATAAAATAAACAATATGGACCTAACTTCTGTGGAATTACCCCAGACTTGAATTTGTCACTGTGCTTCTAAGTATGTGACTAGCTTCTCATGTGGGGACATCAACAGAAGAGAAAGGCATAAGGTTTGTATCAACATACATGAACTGGCCACTGGATTATTTCATTTCAAGAGCCTTGCAGGTGTACAGAATGTTTGACAAACACGTAATATAATAAACAATATCCCTACTCATAGAAGCTTACAATCTAACTCAGCCAAATACAATGTGCAGTTTACAAGATCAAATGCAGAAATAGGGATGGACAGCACCAAAGCAGAGATCAGTGTTGAAAGGTGAAAGTGTGTTTTAGTTGTGATTTGTGGGAGATTTGTAGCTAATCATATTACTTAGTGCACTGCTGGAAAGTGTTTGGATACCAAGGTGCTGGGCTCAGTATAATAATCTGAATAGAATAGCAAGAGGTTGCTTGGCACCTGAGAAGAGAGGGGTTATTCCAGATTTCAGGAGCTATGTGGAAGTGGTATGGTATTAGGGTGACCAGACAGCAAGTGTGAAAAATCGGGATGGGGGTGGGAGGTAATAGGAGCCTATATAAGAAAAAGCCCCAAATATCAGGACTGTCCCGATAAAATTGGGACATCTGGTCACCCGATATTGTATCCAAGTCTGGGAGAAGAGACTAAGGGAGAAGGTTGAGAAGGACCTAGAAAATGTAGTTACACTCATTGGGTGCTGTAACTGGATAATGCAAAAGTTTAAAAAACTCTTCTTCCTGAGAAACTAAGTTAACATTACCTGTAGCTGGATTTTTGGCGTGTAACTGCCTTGGACATGTCTACTGAAGTTTGCACTCTGAATATAGTGCCCCAGGTCATAGTATCTCATACTAAAATGATCATCTCAGGAAACATCTCAGGGTATGATAGAGGTCTATAAAATCATGACTGGTGTGGAGAAAGTGAATAAGGAAGTGTTATTTACTCCTTCACATAACACAAGACCCAGGACTCACCCAGTGAAATTAACAGGCAGCAGGTTTAAAACAAAGAAATGAAGTAGTTCTTCCCACAACATACAGTCAACGTGTGGAACTCATTGCCAGGGGACACTGTGAAGGCCAAAACTATAACAGGGTTCAAAAAAGAATTAGATAAGTTCATGAAGGATAGGTCCATCAATGGCTAATAGCCAAGATGGTCAGGGATGCAACCCCATGCTCTGGTTGTCCCTAACCACTGACTGCCAGAAGCTGGGAGTGGACAACAGGAGATGTATCACTCAATAACTGCCCTGTTCTGTTCATTCCTTCTCAAGCACCTGGTATTTGCCATTGTCAGAAGACAGGATATAGGGCTAGATGGATCATTGGTCTGACCCAGTGTGACCATTCTTATGTTCTTTTACTTTCGCTAGGAGTATATTTTACATAATTTGATGCATCCAGCAATTTTTTTAAATGGCCCAGTGATTAGCTCTGCACAGTTGTTGGATTGTTTTACAAGATTTGATATGTCCAGCTTTTAAAACAAAAAACAATAAACCAGCTAAACACCTTCTGTTCAGTTGTTGCTCACAGACTGAGAGCAGTGCTCCCCATTTCGTATACTTTGAAGAAAGGGACACTAGGAAGGATTTAATGCACAAAACATGACCTACAGTACTGTCCCTCACCTTTCCATCATAGAGAAATCAAAAACAGCTACTGCTATTTCTGTGGGTCACACAAAAAGGTGCTTTGTTTTCTCTAGGCAAAGCAGTTACCAGAAGTAACTCCATTCCCAGAGCTTGGCTGAAATCAGTCAGGGAGGCTGATGCGTGCTGAGGCTGGTTTGATGAAAGGGCTGAACTGTGACTCTTTGGCCTTAGCTTGCAGGTGCATCACCATGAGTGCTGAGGGAGCACAGGCCAGGATCCAGGCTTTGCAAGCAGGCAACCTGTGCTCTTCCAGTGCCATCTTAGCGTCACTGGGGAGGGGGTGGGGGGACTCCATGACCCTTCCCTCATTCCTCCTCACCCTTTCTTAGGTAGACTAGCTAACAAGATCACCTGATTAATAAATACATCTCTACTGATGTTAGCCCTTGCCTCACAGCCCTTGATTCAGAGAGCACGTGATGGGATCAACCCCTGAACCATATGAAGAGCTGATGTAAAGAACACCACAAAGGAAGACATTTGCAGTGGACACCAACAAGTTTGATCTGTCCTACAAAACCTAGAAACTATGCTACATGTTCATGAATGCCTTCTATTGGCACCTTAGCTAGTAACTCTTCACATCTGTACAGACATAGAGTTCTCTCATAACATCTCCCATCTTATCATGGCATCTGAGGGACAAAATGAGGCCCTCGCAGGGCTAGTCACAATCTAGCCCTTTTGGTCTAAGATGATAAACAAAAGCACTCATGTAGCTCAAAAGTGTGTCTCTTTCACCAACAGAAGTTGGTCCAGTAAAAGATATTAGTTCCCTATGACCTTTTGGGGTGCAATCCACACCAGAGAAGGTCTGTGTCACCCCTGCCCTGAACCTTGGGTGCCTTACAATGCCTTGATGCTGTAGCTCCCACCTGGGCTGCTCACAAACAGCCTTCCACCATGCACATCACACTCTGAGTGTCTGTGTACAGCTGCAGCCTGCCAACATGCTCCAATCACACTCTGGCTTCTACCAGCCTGGGTTACCACAAACCCAACACACTCCCAGACCTGGATTTTCCCTCCAGAAATGTGTATTCTGTATTACACTGTCCAACCCTCTCCTGGACAGTTCAGATAACAAAGGTCCATTGTCCCTGTAAGAGAATAATATACAACAACTTGCCTTCTTAAATGGAGTTACTCACACAGTTCACGACACTGGATTAATTTTGATTAAGAACAAAAAAAGGTGTATTTAACTACAAAAAATAGGTTTTAAGTGAGTACAAGTATTAAGGCATTAAAATCAGAAATGGTTACAAGAAAAATAATGATAAAATGCTTTCTACTGCTAAAACTTTACAAACTACGCTTGGTTTAAGGTAAAATTCTTACCATATGCTTCCATCAGCATTGCTGACCAATCTTCCAGTCAGGTTCCCTCCCAAAGTTAAAGAACTGGATTTTTGTGTCTTCTTGGGTTTAAATGTAGCTACAATAACACTGCAAAAAGCACTAGGGGGCAGACCTGACTCCGGGGAGGTCTCAATCCTCCAGAATACTGGGGGAGCTGCCTCAGCAGGTTCTGAAGTCTGTGGTCTGGGTCCTGTCAACCTCATGTGCAATCCTCAAAACCTGCTCACCACCCCTCCTGATCTTAAAGGATCTCACTCCTGACATCTAGGGGTGAAATCCTGCCTCCACTGAAATCAATGGGGCATTTTGCCAGTGACTTCAATGGAGCCAGGATTTCATCTCTAGATCCTAAGTCTGTTCTTTGGGTCCCCCAAACCTAGAACACAGTAACGAATAACCATCAGTGGTCTATTTCTTCATGACCTGGTGCCTGGAATCCTCC